GTGCGGGACGCGCTGCGGGGCGGCGGGCCGCGGCCCCGGCTGCTCTGCTTCGTGCTCAGTGTGCTGGCCGAGCCGTCCGGGGCCGCGCTGCCCCCGGGCCAGCTGGGCTTCGGCAAGCGGCAGCAGGCGGCCGGCGAGAGAGCCCTGCTGGTGGCTTTCTCCCGCGCCCAGCGGCGGGAGAGCCTCTTCAGGGAGCTGCGGGACAAGGTCCGAGCCCTGGGCAGCCCTCTGGTCTCGGGGCCCGGCGGGGAAAGCCCCCCCAAGCGCAGGAGGCGGGGGCGGCGGAGGCGGACTGCGCTGGCCGCCCGCTCTGGGGGCAGGGGGCAAGGCAAGAAGGCCAAGACGCGCTGCAGCAGGAAGCCCCTGCACGTCAACTTCAAGGAGCTGGGCTGGGACGACTGGATCATCGCCCCGCTGGACTACGAGGCGTATCACTGCGAGGGCCTCTGCGATTTCCCCCTGAGGTCGCACCTGGAGCCCACCAACCACGCCATCATCCAGACCCTGATGAACTCCATGGACCCCGAGTCGACCCCCCCCAGCTGCTGCGTGCCCTCCAAACTCAGCCCCATCAGCATCCTCTACATTGACTCTGGGAACAATGTGGTTTACAAGCAGTACGAGGACATGGTTGTGGAGACCTGTGGCTGCAGGTAGCAATGTCCGCTGTCTCCGCCAGCCCCGCCTCGTGTCTATGCGTATTCCTGGCATGTGCCTTTTAAAAGCAAAGGTAAGAAGAGGCGTCGCAGCCTTCCTCGCGAGGCCCCGTCTGTTGTATCCGAGCAGGCAGGGCTTGCTGTTCAGACCCTCTGTCTGCAGGGTCTGATGCTGGAGGGAGAGATGCAGCAGGAGGTGCAGGATCATTGCTGGGTGCTACGGACTTTCCCCAGAGGCAGCGGTCTGTACATTTGCTTCCCTAGGTAAATCTGCTCCTCAGCGTTGTCCTGAAACGATCCTGCAAACGGGCACTTTCAAAGGAAACAAAACAAAACAAAAGCCCTCCATGGCTCTTTTTCCAGGAATTACAATCTTCAGTGCACCTATACAAACATTTCCCGTCCCACCCCGTCTAGAAGGTCAGCTGGGGAGAATGAGGTGTGGTAGTGAGTCTCTCTCCCTCTCTTTGAAATGGCCCCGTCCTTGTTCAAGCGAAACCATTGACATTTCCCTGTTGGAAGAACATCCCATTTCTCCCCCGTGGAGGAGCGGGGAAGTTGCAGCCAGTTGCCTGGAAGGTGGATAGACGGTGCCGTCTAGTTTCGGAGGCAAACCAGGGTTCAGCTCGTGATCGGCTTGAGTTTAAACCCTGATTTTTAAGGGTTTGTAATGTGGCTGTAACAGTTCCCATGGGATGAAATCAGAGCGCCTGCTCTTAGCCCCGGGAAGGTTTTGCTATTGCTTTCCTGAGCTGAAATGATTTTAACCCCTGTCCAGTGCCGTGCACACACAATGGCCGAGTTCGGCTGTCCGTTGCCTGGCAGCTGGATTTAGTTCCAAACATCTGTCATACGGTGCTCAGCGGGCCTTATTCTGCTCTGCCTTACCGATATTTTAGCGCATGTCAGAAAGAAGTCGGTGGAGTTTAACTGGTGTAAAACTGATGTAAGAGATAGGTGAATCCTACTCGGACATCTTACCAGCCTATTGTAGCAAACAGTGCTGGTTCGCCGGGACTTAAACCGTGACGTGTTATGACTGTAAAAGAATCCGACACATGCTGGCTTGGGAGGCTTTTTCGTGCTCTTCGAAAATTACAACGATCAGTTTTTGAACCAGGAAACTTTGCAAATGATTTTCCTGCAGTGGGGCAAGCCTTGCTCAGTCCTTTGAATTGAAAAGGGGCTACTCTGAAGAGTAAGCACCTTTTTGCAATTATAGTACTCATTCTCAATTATATCCTGGCTAGCTGTCATATAGTCAGGAACAAAAATGACGAATTGCCAAGGAGATGCTGAAGAATGTTAACTACCTATTAAGAACCTGCTCGAAGGGTTAGGGAATGAGCAATAGATTTCAGGCCTCATCTTGCTGCACTTAGGCATGCAAGACTCCCATCGACCTTAATCACATTCTGATTTTCCAGGGCATTATCCCTTCATTCGTTGTGTTAAAGAGAAATTCAAGGAGTTTAATTCTGGTTGCACTTTGTAAATTATGGAAAAATTGTGAAAGATTTAGAAAGGAGCTAAGAGACCTGAGAGTCTCAAACTAGTTTATTCAAAAGGAGGTTACAAAAGAACTTCATCACTGTCATAAGTGGGAAAGAGATTTTGGGAAGTAGATGGCTTTTTAGTAGTAAAAAGTAGGTACATCCAGACCCAATGTTTGGAAGCTGAAGTGAGGTAAAATCAGACCCGAATTAAAGCCCATGTTTTGAACACGGAGGAATGTTAACCATTGAAGCAACTCACTGATGGATTCTGTGGTTTTATATGACTTGAAGTATTTGAATCAAGGCTGGCTGGTTTCCTAATGTGTGCTATTGCACGGACAGAATTCATTGTCTACATGGAGAAATTGCTAGATAGTATTCGGGGGACTGTGTTCTCATCAGTCTAAATGAATATAATGGTTCCTTCTGGCTTTAAATCTATGAATCTGCAAAATTCCTCTGATGTCAATTATTTGCTCTAATATGCAGAACACAGAAGCTGGCCCAAAGACTTAAAATCTTTAAAAACATTTTTGAAAGAAGTTAAATGACTGGATAGGTCCTGCAGACCCTCAGAGAAAACTCTGCCATTTCAAGCATTTTTGTTTTTTTCCCCCCCAAGCAAAATGCCTTATGATTGCTTATTGGCAGATAAAATCAGACCGGGGTTATTCACGTAGGCTCAAAGAGCACGCGAGCAAAATATTTGCTAGCATTTGCACTCCGACCTTGAAAGCTGAACAATTTGCCTGTTGCTCTGCTCGTGGCGATCCATAGGAGACTCATCATAACCTAATGTCCATCTATATGGAATTAAACAGGGGAACTCTGTACGATGCCAATCGGACCGAGTAATTTGGGCAGCCTGCCAACCTAAGTAGTACTTATGCTTTGAAGTCAGAAATACGTGTGAATCACTCTCAGGGCAGAAGTGAGTGTCTTGGGTCTGGTGCTGTATAAGACAGGCTAATATTCAGTCCTGAATTGCTCATACTTTCTCTTTAGTAATTTAGCAGATCCTTTACAAAATAGCATGTGTTTTCTACTATCAGTTAAAATATTGCCAAATGTGCATCAGTGCCTGGTAGCTACGGTCCTTTGCTTTTGTAGGAGTTAAATTAATGTTGTAACTTTGCCTAAGCAGCTAAACTTTCCCAAAGTTCAGAGGTGCCTGGATCTGGGGATTTGATTGTGCTGTTGTAGAGGGAAGGGGTAACCTCCGAGACTGGGATCCAGCTATTTTAAAGTTCAGAAAAATTTGGACCGAGGGCTTGGTTCAGATCCAACTCGAATTGTAAGAAACCCCTGGAGAGGATAATACAGTTACAGAGAAGAAACCATACAACATTAATAATAATGAAATAGATGCTGAGCAAGATCCCTACCTGGCATAGCTCCATGGATACTTCAGCGGAGGATCAGGCCCTCGAAATCTAGAGGGTAGGAAAGAAATTTTGCACTGTCCTAAATGAACTTTAATCCCACCGACTACTTTGGATTTATATCAGTGCAACAGAGAGGGAAATTTGGCTTCATATAGCGGAACGAATGTAAATAAGTGCTAAGTATGGCATATTCTTATCTTGGGATTATTCTGAGACACAGAGGTTAGCAGCGAAAAGGAGGCTTGACTCCTTGCCAGTGGGCTTTTTAAATTTTAATTTCAATTTTTTTGTATTATGACTTCCCTGTTGATCCCAGCTCTCTGTGGTTAGAGGCTTGTAAATAATGCTAGCCAGGTGACAGGCATTTCACAAGGCTAAGCTGGGGCAAGTGCTGCAGCAAAGGTCAGCTGGAGACTTCGCAGGTTTGTTTCAAGTTTCAGCGTTATTAAGAATAAAAGTTAGGAGAGGCTACGAAAAGTGAGGAGACTGCCGTGAAGTGCTCTGCAGCAATTTGTTCTGGAAATATCATGTCATTTTCTTACCATGTCACTGAG